GCCACGACATCTGGATACTGGAAGGCCACAGGGAAGGATCGTCCCGTCTTCGATCCGGCTTCCCGCGCGATTGTTGGTATGCGCAAGACACTGGTTTTCTATCGCAACAGAGCTCCGAATGGGATCAAGACAGGCTGGATCATGCACGAGTTCCGTCTGGAGAACCCACACATGCCTCCAAAGGTCTGTCTGTCTGTCTTCTCTTTCTCTACCTCCAATTAATCCAGCTCATTCAATATAACTCACTCTCTCTCACACACTCTTCTCAGCACTCAGTAGACATAGACACTGTTTGGTTCTTATTGGGTGCAACTCAACTCTACAAGTCTACATTACCTTGGCCTGCTGAATGCTGAGTGAGTGAGTTGGTGCTGCTGCCCAATAAAATAACAGCCAACATGAATACTCAAATACAGACTTGATTAAGAAACTGACTGCACCAAACACTCCCTTAGGGKTAGGCATCGATATAATAAATGCTACAGAGACCCATCGCTTGAGAACGACGTTGTATGGGGACTCCACTGAAAGCCAAAGGTCCAACAAGGGAAAATTCACGTGAACCCCACGTAGGGGCAGTTTTGACGATTGATGTGGGAAGTGGACAAAATGGGTTTGGCTTTTATCGATCAAAGCACCTGAAACTTCTTCAGGGTGCAGTTTCCTTGGAATTTCCCATCAAAAGACTATTATGTCCCCTTGCTGTTGTTTGTAATACACAGTATCTTAGTCAAAGTCTAGCACAGGTCATGCCATAGACCAGCTGGTTGAAAACCTTCCCAACTCCTAAATAACTCATCGTTAATTCTTGGTTGGCTCGAAATTAAATCTCCTGAGAGCATTCCCTAGTGGTTATGACACTACTTTAAAAAAGAGTGGCGATTAATCCAGAGAGACGCTCTCATTTGTTAAACCATGCATACTCTATTTTATCATCATTCGTTGGTTCAAAATAGAAAAGTTTGGAATTTTTGTCTTTTAACTTTCACGCCACCAGTGAATGATCGATAGAGACAATAGGGTTAACGAGGAGAGCTCTTGTAGAAAAAATAAATAAGGAAACAAGGAAAGATTATCTCAGCATGCATGGTTGTGACTCAAGAATGCTACACTTGGTGTTCCATTAGAGCTCATAGGTTTTACTCACCATGAGATCACTCCTGCATGATCGTTACACTTGGGGGCTCATTTGCTTTTCGATAAATTATTTACCCGGGTAAATATAGTGTTTCTCAGGAAAGATTTATCTGAGTAAGCATATTTATCCATGCTTTTTTATTTCCCAGACAATAGGGTAATGACCATTTTAGTCATAAAAATTTATTATTAAAAGGGGCATTTTTGTCCTATTCAAGTGTTAGTGACTTTCCCCTTAGGCCCGTTCGCTTTTCAGTAAGTTACTTACCGAGGTAAATGTAGTTAATTGGGTAAGTTTTTCCTGAGAGACACTTACTTGCATTTACCCCTATTCTTTTGTTTCTAATGTAAATAAGGCAATGACCACAAAGATCCATTATTAAAAGTAAATAAACTTTCCCTGGTTTCCACATAAATTTGAAAAAAGAACAGCAGATTCTTGGTCAGTGAGAACCAAAATTCCATTGACCAACTTTCCCCCCACTTAAAATCCAAAAAAAAAAAAAAAAAAAAACAACATCCCCCTAAGTGAGAAAGTAATTTAACCACATAAATCTAAAATGGGTTTCTCCCATTAACCAACTTTCCCCCTCTTAACATGCAATAAAAGAGCTAGGGATGTAAATGGATCAGACTTTGTTTTGGTTCAATAAGTGCATGATCAGACTTTTTCATACTAAGTAGTAAGTATTAACATGTCCCTAGCCTGCCCTAGATAGACCCAAAATCAGCTCTCTTACAATATCTAGCCTGACCTAACATTTTACCTTGGTTAACCATTTCTTATGTAACCCTGCTTCAAGTTTGTGTTGTTTCATATATATATCTTGCTAGCTAATGTGACTATTAAACTGATTTTGCAGGAAGATTGGGTGTTATGTAGAGTCTTTTACAAAGGCAAGGGAGAGCATCTCACTGAACCTGGCCTTGGAAATCATGAGCCTGAAACCACAATTGGTGCACCTTCTCCAACATTCGCCCCTTTCTCTCATAACCATACCGTGCCAAGTGGTTACAGACAGGTGGTGGACTCATTCTCCTCAGTTCTACACCACCAAGACCAGAGTTTCCTAAACTTGGCAAAGCAAAACCCTAATTTTCTTGGGTGTCCTCAGGAAATGAACAACACACCCATGATTGAGATTGATTCTAGAGGTGGAGATGAGTTCGGGTTTCTGCTGGATATGAGTTTAGAAGAGAACATGGGGGATGGAGGAACGCCAAGTATGGAGGAAATGAAGTTTGACGATGACGACAACACAATGGTTTTCATCTAGATTGGTTTTGTTAAAAAAAAAAGAAAAAAAAGAAAGAGAGGAAAGGAAGGATACCCATTTATTGATATATGATATATTGTGTTGTTTGTTTATAAGGATAGAATTATGCATTGTTTGGATATCAGATGATTGATGTATGGCAAGATGGTCTTTGGGTTCTGTATACGTCTATGTCATGTATATTGTCTACATATATCAGTCATTTTCTTTGTACAAAAAGTTAAAAATCAACTTGTCATTCCATACTCTCCAAATACAACACATGTGCATCCATCCTGTGGTTCTGTTGTTAGTGTTAGAGAGAGATGCAAAAATTATTTGAACATCATAATAACCACCGACATGGTCAAAAGTATTTTACTATAGTTAAACAATTAATCATAAGAATCTACATTTAAAAATCAGATATAACAATATTAAATCCAACATTTCTTTATACACTTTTTTCTATAGTGTTTTTATTTTATCCTTTTTTTTCTAACAAGATTTTTTCATTTTGTTTTCTTTTCCAAGCATCCTCACTTCCTCAGAGAGAGAGAGAGTATTTTCTTTTTCTTTTTGAAAGATATAATTAATTTCTGACTATTTTCAATCCCACATAAAATTGTTGAATGCCAATTACTTTTGTAAAGTTGATGGAGTGTCTAAACCCACCAAGAATTCATGGGAGCCTGACTGTATGTCCCACAATATTAATTAAACCCCACTTTTAATCATCCTTGAGCCAACTTCAAACCCTAAACATATAAGGCTCTTGCTTTTGGACAAAGCTCACCACCCATAAATACATGATACATGCACCAATCCTTGAGCCAACTTCTCGGGAGCATCAACCCTATTATTATTAACCCTTCTAATCATTTAATTAACCCAATTAATATTTCTAACCCCAACCAAACCATCTTCACACATTATTAACCTCTTTTGCATCAATCCCTAAAAGCTAATTACAACCACTTGTTTAAGTTTACCCATTGCATTTCATTAAAAAATGGTTATATATATGACTAAATAATGTACATTGAACTGATCAATGAATGAAAATATTAATATATCCTTGTCTATGTAGCTTAGTGATCTCACAAAAAAAAAAAAAAAAGAAAGAAATAAACATTGTTATCCAAGAAGAAAATTAACAAGAAGAGTCTCCACCAAGGCACCAATTAAATTACAATCTTATAGTTGGTGTGATCACCAAGGTAAATGACTAAAATTGACTCCACTAAGGTCTACGAACATCAATTCTACATTAAAGCCTTACTGTCATGTTTGTTCATAACAAAACCATAGATGAAATGCATGGACTATTGTATGTAGCTACTTGGTCTCTTGTTGGACCTACTTAACCTCCACGATTACCATGTCATGAAATAGGAAATGAAAGCAACAAACATACATAAATGACATGAGAAAAGGCTAAGAATTAAAGAGAGAACGAAACAAATATTGTGATCCTAAAGAACAATGAAATCATGTTTGAAGCAAGGGGTGCAGGAAATAGAAAGCATTATCATGGCCAAGAACCCAACAATTTCCTACAGCTCAGAGACAATATAATCTTACTTGCAATATATTCTTCCTCTCAAACCACTAAGCTCTGAACTATCTTTCCTCTAAACCTCCTTTCTTGCAATAGTTGTCAGCTCCAACATGTTTATAGAAGGTCTCAATATTTTGTTCTTATATGTTAAAATTCAATCCGGATGCATCTAAAAACATACACTTTTGGTCCACAGTTCATAATTTGTCACGTCTCCTTATATTAGATCAAATGGAAAACTCATTACCGAAAAACTCTCGGACCTGCTTGCCCTGTCATCTCCTTACTTTTCCCTCTCTCTCTCTCTCTATACATTTCTTCCGTCATCTTTATATGGTCCTCTGAAGCTGTTTAATAAGATAATAGATCCCCAATGGTTTTCAAGAAAAAGTAGTAACCCAGATAAAAAAAACTCTCTCTCCCCCAAGGTTTCTCCCATTTCTTTCTTTCGTTCTATGAATTTGTTTACAAACATAAAACAGTTGACTAGCTATCACATACATACATAGAATAAAAAAAAAAAAAAAAAAAAAAAAAAAAATTCCAGAAGCTGTAATTTGCAGACAAAGAGAGAGCAATAATTCATATTAGATAACAAAACAACATTATTTAAATTTTAGAAAGTTGGAAATTTGAAGAAGTGAATTACTATCACCATCTGATTTGAAAGTGTAACCTAGATAGCAAAAGACACAAGAGAGAGAGAGAGAGAGGAGATGGAGAGATATTTGGATTTTATAAGAGCAACTACGAAGGGTTTGTCAAGCAATCACGGGAGTAGAAAGTGAAACTCTCTTTGTTCCAGAAAAAATAAATATGGAGAGAGATAGAAGGAACGGTAATATTTGGCTGAAAAATCGTTAAGGGCAGAGATAGTTGAAGAGGAAGGGCGGTGGTAAGGGTTTAGGTGAGAGAGAGTCCGGATCTCCTGCCCACACCTAACCACATAATATTGCAGCCACACATAGGAAACATCTATCTTATCACATAATATTATGCACGGGAGATGTTCCCAATTCTCAGAGGTGGTGTGCTGTGGTTAGATGTGAGCAGAGTTCTTGTGGGCAGGAGATCCGGAGTCAAGAAAAAGGGGTTTTGAAATACTTCATTTTGTGATTATCAAGTTCACAGCCTCAAGTGAACAGTCAAATTAATGCTCAAGAAGGAAATAAAGGGAGAAATTGCCACCAGTAATATTATGGTTTAGTTGGACTCTGGATCTCCTGCCCACGCCTACCCACACTACACTATCCCCGTGAATTGGGAACATCTCCCCCTGCATAATACTATGCAGAAAATGAAATGTTCTCCATGTGTGGCTACGATTAACGTGGGCAGAGTTCTCATGGGCAGGAGATCCAGACTTGTTTAGTTGGTCAACAAAGCAAGTGGTTAGAAGATTGACTCCACTAGATGAGTTCTAGGCAAGGGGGACACTATTGTCTCCCTTTTCTATTTCTATTCCTTTGATGATCAAATATAGTTGAATTATCAATGGGTGATAAATTTTCATTTATAACCATTTCCCATAAATAAGAAAATAAGATATAGATGTATGAAAATATGCAGTAACTCTAAAATAAGAAAATAAGAAAGCCAGAAGATATGAACAATAAGAGATGAGAGTTGATAATTTTGATAGAGAAAAAATAAAGCATTAAAAGGGTTCCTTTATCAAAGAAGGTATGCCCTTTATATGTTTATAGTGGTAATTACATTATAAAAAAAAAAAAACTATTTGGATGCTATAAATAATAGGATCTGTTTGGTTCGCAACTGGAGTTGGAATCGTAATCGGAATCAAAATCCTTTAGAATTGGAATCTGAATAGTCCATTCCCATAATCTATTTGATTCAGACAGGAATGAGAATGAAAATTAGAATCAACAAGAATAAAATTTCATTCCCAAGAGAGAAGTAAGGAATGACCATTTTCTCAAATGGGGGAAGATCATTCCAACAAGAATGAGAATAAGATTCTAGTTTCGCCCAATCAAACAGTTGAAATTGAAATAGCCCATTCTAATTCCGTTTCTAGAACTCTATTCCTGCGAACCAGACAGGGCCTATTTGAATTCAGGGTGAGATCCCTTTCATTGATAACCATAGAATTATTAGGATTCACGCTGATCCCTTTCACTGATGACTATAGATTGATCATCAATAATAGTGACAATGTGACCAAGAAAAAAACTATACTGTTTACTGAAATTCTTCACATGTCAACCAAATTCTTCAACTTTATTAGCCTTTTAATGACATAAACAAGGGAAGAATGAAGTTGTATTGTTCAACAACTAAAATAATTTATTTAGTTGTAAATTTTCCAAAAGTTGAGCATTTACATTTTGAAACAATATATATTTTAGTAAGATTCAGGATAATAACATAGAAAATAGTTATGACTGTATTCAGACATATGCTAACAACATTTAATTTAATCCTCAAAATAATGAATAAAGAAATTAGGACACCATATTTATGAATTAGTTGTAAGTATTATTTGATATCCATTCAATTAACAAGTAAAACAATTAGATTGCTAGTAATATTATTAATGCAAAGTTATGAAATATATAAATTGCTTACAACTTTGCCACCTGTCCCATGTTCATAACTTATTTATGGTATAAGTCTATAGTCCTGCTTGTTAAAAATAGGACAGGTGGCAAGTTATCGGGGCCCCACACATATACACATGGTCCCCCATGCCCAAGATGCCCACTGTTACTTACCATCATTGATTACTTCTTACCCTTCATATAACAAAGCATAGATTCATTTTTGCTGTTTTTGGGCCTTTTGTTTTTGTTTGAAAAACAAAACCAAGCATATTGACAAACACCCCCTCTTTCAAGCAAAAACTTAACAAAAAAACATCGGAGCCCTTGTGCGTCTTCAAGAACCATGCCATCAATTGCAACTCATGTTGTGGACAAATACATCACCTAACTCTTTTCTCATTTTTTTTCTTCTTCTTCTTCCAACCTCATTAGGGGTGGCCACAAGTCGGGCTTGAGCTTGAGCCTAATAAAGTTCAGTTTGTGAGGCTCGCAAGCTAAGCTCGAATAGTTACATATATACATATATACATATATACATACATACATACATACATATATATAATAAATAATAATAACAATAATATATATAATATTTTTATTTTTATATATAATAATAACTAATTATTTTAATTCTTAATTTTTTAAAACATTTTTCTCAAGTTGAGCTTGAACCGAGCCAAGCTCAAGCTTACGAGCTTTTGACTCGAGCCGAACTCGAGCTCAAGGTTCTAGCTTGAACCGAGCTCGAGCTCAAACTCGAATCTCGTACTGCCTTAACGAGCCAAACTCGAAAAACTAACTATTTAGCTTGGCTCGGCTCAAATCCACCCCTAAACCTCATCATCATCATCACCTCTCTCCTTTCTCGAAGAAATAATAATATCTATTATAAAGAAATGTAACAAATAATAATATCTATTATAAAGAAAAATTGACATGCAAAAAAATTGCAAATATGTATAAAACATTTGGAGGGCAATTTAGAATGTAGCAACCTATATTATTACGAGTCAACACAGCAAGGCTACAAGATTAAATTTGTCTGGATTGGGGGTATTCATCAACATGTATGCTTTTGTTCTTTCGGTCCTGTTGTTTGTCAGGAATACAAATCTTAATCAGATACA